GCTCTAGTGAACCTTGTGGTAGAGTTCACTCGTTGCAGTTATCAGTGGTGAGCCAACCACTCTATTTTTGTGGTAGCTCGGACTTCTGTATCAGTTAATTTCCCATTCGCACATTGTTATGTACTCCAAAAATCCTAGATGCTCTTGACTCATTATGGGCCTAGTCCTATTTCTAAGTCGAGGTTACATTCGAATGAGCCTTGCATTATTTATTTTACCATTTTAATTGAATTGATTTATCCAATACAGTTTGCTTCATTAATCACGAAATGAATGAGTTGAGACTAAAGTTGGTTGGCTCGACAAGAGGGTTTGTTGGTGCTGATTGTAGGTCCTCGAATTTTGGGTTGTGACACAAAGTAGATTGAAAAGCTGATGATTAAAAACAGCCAGTCGTTTAAACCCCAATCAAAATTCATAGGACAATGTATCTAAGAAATCTTAAAACAAGCAGACGATATCAGTTTTCTTTCTTCTTCCTTTCTTCGTACTACTAATTTGAAATCTAAATACTCTCTAATGGCTCTCAAAAAGTGCAGTGGAATAACAAATAAAATATATAGAAGTTGGTCTGCAGTGTAATGGGTTAATAAAGAAAACGATAGATCTTTGACATCGTATATAATCATAAGATATAGGAACGGAAGAGATGGAACAAGAAAACAGACATATGAAAAGCAGACATCATTTCCAACAATATTTAAAGTTGTACCTCTTTCGACAACTTCAGGATAGAAACATCTTGAGTCAGAGGGAAGCTTTTCCATAGCATTCTTGGAATCAACATCCCAGCAAGTGAACTAGGTATAAACATCATGAATGCCAAATATGGCGTGGAAAACCTATTCAATAAAATAATTTACCAAAAGTTTTCTCAATGTCAAGTGAAAACTTCTGCTTATTTGTGTTGAAGTACAAGCACCTCGATGAGGATATGGCACACCTATGTCCCTAGAAAAAAAACTAGTAATTTGACATCTGAAAATTTTAAGCACAAGCAATTAATAGCAACTTGAGGCATTCCACTTATGCGACATTTATCATTATGTCACTCAAACAAGTCTCCACTTATATATTTCTTAACTAAGATATTCGCAATTCAATATGAAGATCTAGAGAAGTGAAAAGGGCAAAGAGAACTAATAGTCACAGCTTTCACAAAAATCTTCTTTCAGGATAGCACCAAATTTCCATTAATACAATATTATCAGGATACCAATTTTGCTAAGTATCACAATATCGTCGTCATAGAGTGGAAGACCGACAGTCAAACATAAAAAGGACAGCTCGGTGCACTAAACTCCCGCTGCTATATCTGGTGCCCAGGAAAAACTGGATCATATTATATCTATTGCATGCAGCCTTACCTGACATTTTTGCAAGAGGCTGTTCCGCGACATGAAACCATGGCAGAATGTTTTACCAGACACTTAAACATAATTAAAAAATAACTTTATCTTTATAAAAAAAAAACATAATTAAAAAATAATAATTCTCCACAATAAACCCAGAGAATGCAATCTCAAGAATAAACAAACACATACCAGTTCATTGACTGACCAGCAAACAGCAGTCTTATGACAGCAAAGGCAACAGGAAAAACAATTGCTAGCAAAATTGCAAAAGCATGACATAGCATTCCTGCATAAGAGCCAAGAACCAAGCAGAACACAGAAACAAGTCTTTTAAGAGCACTCTTCCAACCAAAGAGAGAATTGAAGTATGTAAATTACCTACCTTTAAGAAAATCATAAAAGGCTGCAAAACAATAGGTCAGTCCCCAAGTTGGAAAGCGTAGGAGAAGTGGCACAAGAAAAAAGATGACAACAGGTAAACAATGAAGAAACATAGCTTGCTTTCGTGAATAGTATACCTACAATGAGAAGGAGAACTATTAGAATAGAAATAAGTATTTCCTTCTAAAAATAGGAATTAGAATAGGAATAAGAATAGGAACCCTAGTTGGATAAGCTTTCCAATGTAGTGTCTATAAATAGGATCTTCATGTAACAATTTAGATACACAATTCAATAACATTTTCTTTAAAATTTCTCACATAGTATCAGAGCAATTGTGTGAGAAAAAAAATAAAAAAAAATGCAATGTGCAGTTTTTCCGGTAACCTAGTTGTTGCCGGATAATTAATATTTTCCGTCACTGTTTACAAAAAAATCGACACCACCACTAGCTGCGGAACTTCCCGGTGAGCAAAGCCCAGACATCCCCACCGGAAATCAGTGCTACACGCGTTGTCACGCGTTGCCGGAAGGATTTCACCGGCAAACTATCAGATCCACGCGCCGGCGCGTGTGACCTTTTCCAAACAGTTTTTTCAACAATTTTTTTTCTATCTGGTTGCCTCTTCATTCCGAGGCTGACCATGTAAAATTTCCTGATTCCGACCAATATTTGACATTCAGATTTATTTTTCCGGCAGCTTCCACTATTTTCAGACCACTATAGCAGATGTTTTAGGCAGATTCCAGCGCACATACCAGTGTATGAGAATCAACGAAGGGGAGAACGTTTTGGAAAACTTCGAAATAGTACAAGTAAACAACGTTTTGGAAACCTCGATCCAAGTGTACTCATTGTTATAAACTTGGACACACTCGAGACATATGTTATATCTTACATGGTCCACCACCCAGTTATGATCCTATTGTTCTAAAGAAATATAGAGTGTTCCTTCAATATCGTGCAAATAAACAAAGGTCTCCACAAGTAGTTTCGGTTGCACAACCTGATGTTTCTGTTGCGGGTAATTCTTTTACTTGTGTGTCACGGTCTAGCCCTCTTGGATCATGGGTCATAGACTCGGGGGCTTCTGATCATATCACTAGTAATAAATCACTTTTGTCTGATATTGTTTATTCACAATCTCTTCTAGCTATTACATTAGCCGATGGGATCCAAACAAAACCAAAAGGGGTTGGAAAAGCCAAACCCATATCTTCTGTCACCCTCGACTTTGTTCTTTATGTTCCTGGTTCTCCTTTTAATCTAGCATCGGTTAGTCGTTTGACGAAAGACCTACATTGTAGCATAACTTTTTTTGATGATTTCTTTCTCATGAGGACCGTAGTACGGGACAGACAATTGGAACAGGACATAAATCACAAGGCCTATACTATCTTGCCTCTTCTAATTCCTTAACAGCATGCTCCGTTACAGATTCCCCAGATCTAATTCACAAAACGTTGGGACACCCAAGTCTTTTTAAACTGCAAAAGATGGTGCCTAATTTGTCTAGTTTATCCACATTAGATTGTGAGTCGTGCCAACTTAGGAAACATACTCGTGCTACATATTCTCGTAGTACCGAGGGTCGTTCAGAATCTATTTTTTCATTAGTTCATTCTAATATTTGGGGTCCTAGTAGAGTCAGTTCCACCTTAGGATTTTGTTATTTTATTAGTTTCATTGATTACTATTCGCGATGTACTTGGGTTTTCTTAATGAAATATCATTCTGAGTTATTTTCTATTTTCAAAGGTTCCTTTGCTGAAATACAAAATCAGTTTGGTGTTTCCATTCGTAATTTCCGTAGTGATAATTCCTTAGAATACTTATCATCCCAGTTTCAGGAATTCATGTCTCACCAAGGAATTATTCACCAAACATCTTGTCTATACACCCCTCAACAAAACGGTGTAGCTGAAAGAAAGAATAGGCATCTCATAGAGACTGCTCGCACTCTCCTCATTGAATCCCATGTTCCGCTGGGTTTTTAGGGCGATGCAGTCCTCTCATCTTGTTATTTAATTAACAGAATGCCTCTTCTTCTATTTAGAATCAGGTTCCACATTCCATACTTTTTCCTCAGTCACATCTCTATCCTATCCCCCCTCGTGTCTTTGGGAGCACATGCTTTGTTCATAATTTAGCCCCAACAAAAGATAAATTAGCTCTTCCTGCCCTCAAATGTGTCTTTCTTGGTTACTCTAGAGTTCAAAAGGGTATCGTTTTTATTCACATGGTCTTCATCGATAACTTATGTCCGCTGATGTTACATTTTTTGAGTCTCAGCCTTACTATACATCTTCTGACCATACTAAAGTATTTATGGTCTTACCCATACCTCAAGTTTTAACTGTGCCAACCTTTGAGGAATCTACGGTTACTTCTACATCTCCAATTGCAGTGCCACCACTACTAACTTATCATCGTCGTCCTCGTTTAACCCTAGTCCCAAATGATACATCTCATGCGCCAGACCTTGCTCCTACTGCGGACTTGTCTCCTCCTAGCCAACCACTTACACTTCAAAAAGGTATACGATCCACTCGAAATACTAACCCACATTGTACCTTCTTAAGTTATCATCGTCTATCATCACCCCATTATGCCTTTGTGTCGTCTTTGTACTATAATTCCATCCTTAAGACTACATGTGAAGCACTTTCTCATTCTGGATGGAAACAGGCTATGGTTGATGAGATGTCTGTTTTGCATAAAAGTGGTACTTGAGAGCTTGTCTCCCTTCTTGCAGGTAAATCTACGATTGGTTGTCGTTGGGTTTATGCAGTCAAAATTGGCCCAGACGGTCAGGTTGATCGACTTAAGGCTCGCCGTGTTGCCAAAGGGTATACTCAGATATTTGGGCTAGATTATAGTGACATATTCACTCATGTGGCTAAAATATCATCTGTCCGCCTTTTTCTATCTATGGTTGCCGTTCGTCATTGGCCTCTTCATCAGTTGGACATTACGATTGTTTTTCTGCATGATAATCTTGAGGAAAAAGTCTATATGGAGCAACCACCTTGTGTTGCGGCTCAGGGAGAGTCTAGTAGCTTTGTATGTCGATTGCGTAGGTCACTGTATGGTCTGAAACAGTCTCCTCGAGCTTGTTAGGGAAGTTTAGCACAGTAATTGAGTAGTTTGACATGACTCATAGTGAAGCTTCATCACTCGGTGTTTTATCGGCATTCTGCACAAAATCAATGTATCTATTTGGCTGTTTACGTTGATATTGTTATCACCAGTAATGATCAAGATGGTATCACTGATTTGAAGCAACATCTCTCTAAGCACTTCCAGACTAAAGACCTAGGGAGATTGAAGTATTTTCTCGGTATTGAGGTTGCTCAATCTAGATCAGGTATTGGTATTTCCCAACGCAAGTATGCCATAGAATTCTTGAGGAGACAGGAGTGATGGGATGTAGACCTATTGACACTCCTATGGATCCGAATGTTAAACTCCTTCTAGGACAGAGGGAGCCAGTTAGTTATCTTGAAAGGTACAGACGACTTGTTGGAAAGTTGAATTATCTCACAGTGACTAGGCCTGACATTTCTTTTCTTGTGAGTGTTGTAAGTCAATTTATGACTTCCCCTTGTGATAGTCATTGGGAAGCAGTTCTTCGTATTCTGCGATATGTAAAGTTAGCTCCCGGTAAAGGACTACTCTTTGAGGATCGAGGCCGTGAGCATATTATTGGATATACAGACGCTAATTGGGCAGGATCACCTTCTGACAGATGTTCGACATCAGGATATTGTGTTTTAGTAGGAGGTATTTGGTGTCGTGGAAGAGTAAGAACCAGAATGTAGTTGCTCGATCTAGTGCTGAATCAGAGTATCGAGCAATGGCGACAACAACTTGTGAGCTAGTTTGGATCAAAGAGTTGCTGGGAGAACTAAAATTTGGCAAAATTGATCAGATGGAACTTGTGTGTGATAATCAAGCGGCTCTTCATATCGCATCAAATCCAGTGTTTCATGAAAGGACTAAGCACATTGAGATTGACTATCACTTTGTCAGAGAAAAGATACTCTCAGGAGATATTGTTACAAAATTCGTGAAGTCAAATGATCAGCTTGCAGATATTTTCACCAAGTCCCTCACAAGTCCTCGTATTAATTACATTTGTAATAAGCTAGGTACATATGATTTGTATGCACCAGTTTAAGGGGGAGTGTTGGAATAGAAATAAGTATTTCCTTCTCAAAATAGGAATAAGAATAGGAATCCTAGTTGGAAAAGGTTTCCAATGTAGTGTCTATAAATAGGGTCTTCATGTAACAATTTAGATATGCAATTCAATAATATTTTCTCCAATATTCTCACAAGAACAATAGGTACTCTATAGTTAATTTACAATCTAATTTCACTTCATGCATAAAGAAGATCTTCATCTTGAGAAGTGTTGGCTTACCAAGAAACACGACAAGTAATCAAAGAAAATTGCACGTTCATTGTCAGATCTATTGACAGCAGATCTTAATTTCCTTTGATGTGCATTTTGCAGGTTAGATGAGTTGGTGAAGGCTTTGATTATTCTTAATAAATTGTCTCCACGTGCTTGGATGCTTCCAGGTCTAGGTCAAAAAAAATTCTCATGTATTAGAGCAAGTATCCATGTAGACATAATGGTCATAAAAACTCAATTTGGTGAACTATACCAAAACAGCAATTGTGATGCATACAATAGTCTTTCAACAGTATCAGATGCGGTATGATAAAAATAACCCCCAAGGAGGAAGATGATATCTAGGCCAGGAATATCGCCAAAATCTTGTGCAAACATTCTGTAGTCTGTATCACCAGGTATTATACCAAAGATATCCTACAAGAACATTGGAAAAGAGAAACTTTCAACACCATATCAACCACGCATCGCTGCAAGGAGCTGATACAAAGATATCAAGAAACTGATTTCAGTAGTAGACAATATTCTGTGAACCTGAGCTGCACTATTTGCCATAGGATAGAGTGCTGATTGAGCATAAACATATGAAGGCCAGGACCCAGGTCCAGATTGGCAAACCAAATCTGTAAATCCAACAATGCACAGCGGGTGAAAATTATAACAATAGCAATGGCATAGAGATGGAAGATTTAATAACTTAATAACTCTCCTCATAGAGTAGATAATTTGGTCAGGGAAACAAGTCATTCAGAATGTGCAGTCGCATGGATGGTGCACCAATTAGTAGAACATCATAACTTGAATACTTTTTTTGATGAAGTGAGATATCATTAAAAGCATTCAGAGGATGCAGAGATTACAAAAGAGAAGAATCTGTCAGCTTAACAGATGCAAAAAAAAAGTTATAAAGCTAAGCAGCTGACAAATTCTAAAAAGAGAGGACCTCTCAGCTCAAGAAAAAACAAAAAAAATTATAAAGCTAAGAAGCTGACAAATTCCAAAAACATGTAAATTATTTAGAGGTGAAAGGTTAGCCAAGCTATATAAGTTAACTAGATAAACTAGCCTTAAGAGAGCATATTTGAGTTTATATTCCATCAAAACGTCTTATGTTTCTTTTAGACCAGATGCACCAAAAAATGCAGGCAGGTACCATGATCCGCGGAATTTTCAACATTCCTAGAACTCCAAACTTGTATATGCTTCTCTGATAGAGAATGGCATAGACCATTTTAGGTCAAAAAGCAACTAAGAACATATGTCAAAAGTCTACAGCAACTGGACAGTGGCGGAAAAGCTGTTTAATTCTTTCAAGGCATTTTGGTACTAGCTGAAAACTACTTTTGATAAGGTTATCTTGGGTGAGACATGTCCCTTTTAGGACCGTCCAAGTGAAGCACGAAATGTTTGAAGGGTGATTGTTTCCAAACTAGCTTCCAAGGCAAAATACCAATCATCTTTGTAAAGATATGGCACCTGCCCTAACTCAACCTGACAAGGTAGCTCTAAGGAGATTTGTCCAAGTCCATATTAGGAGACCAATTTCCCATTCTTCTACCGATGTGGGACTTCTTCAAATTCCCCGCACACTCAGACTTTAACTGGAGCGTGAACACTTATAAATGGGGAACAACATCGGTGAACAACATATTGGAATGGATATGGCTCAGATACCATGTGAGAAATATAGATTAACAATATTATTGAATTGTGTATCTACATTGTCACATAGAGAGACTATATTTAGAGACACTACAATACAGTCATTTACCAAGTAGGAAATTACATACTATTCTTATTCTTGTTACTATTTCTTACTATTACTATTCTTATTCCTATTCTAAGTAGGATAGTCTATACCTATTTCTATTTTTCTATTCTAACAAGGAAAATGGTCTCCTAATATGGAATTGGACAAACCTCCCGTATGAGCTAGCTTTTATGGTTGAATTAGGCTAGGTTTCATATCTTTAAATCGTATTAGAGCCTCTACAAACTTGGTGGAAAATCAAAGAGCTTCCACTGCCGACGAGTAGCTATTAGCCATATATGCCACTCGTCCAGCCAGTGATTATGCCAACAAAAGTAGGGCTAATGATATATGCATGAACCCCATATTCAGGGGAATAAGACTCGGTCAGACAGGTTACCATGCGTCAATTTCCACAGACTTTCTAGGGTTGCTTTATGTCAACCTATATCCGTCGATATTTGTTTAACATTGTGCAATCTCCGGTGACTACTTTTTCATATTTAATTTATGTAGCAATGTGCCGTCATTGGTGACTACTTTTTCATATTTAATTTATGTAGCACCGTGCCATCTTCTTGGTGACTACATTCTCTTATCTAATTTGTTTAGCAACATGTCATCTTTTCGGTGAATAATTTTTTATATCTCATTTGCGTAACACCGTGTCATCTTTCTTGTAACTACTTTTTCATATTTAATTTGTGTAACACTGTCTCATCCTTTTAGTAATTACTATTTTTTCATATCTGATTTGCATAGCATTGTGCATCTCTCCAAAAACTATTTTTCATATTTAATTTGCATAGTTCCATGGATTTATCCGAACTACTTTCTCATATCTGAGTTGCATAGCACCATCTGTCTCTTTGGTGACTACTCATATTTGATTTGTGTAGGTCCATTGGTCTTTCCGATGACTCCTCAAATTTGATTTGAGTAGGGTTGTGCCATCATTTTCATCTTACCCATATAATCTTTCTTTTTCAATAGGGTCATGCCATAACTCTGCCCCTACCCATATTATTTCACTTTTTTAGTGCCATCAATCTAACTTTTCCTATATAATTTCTATTTTCCAATAAAGTTCTGCCATCATTCCAACCCTACCCATATAATTTTATTTCTCAGATTATGACAACTTTCAGCCATCAAATCTAGTACTCATACATGAGCATATTTTGACTAGTTTTTCAGTGACTTTCTTGTTTAACATTGACCCATCTATTGATTTCAAGATCGTCCATATATTTTATACCAGATTTTGAGCACTTTCTAACGTCCACTGCACTATGAAGAAGTTTATATGGAGCAACTACCTAATTTTATTCCTCAGGGTGAGTTTAGTAGCTTTCTATGTTGATTACATAAGTGAAACAATCTTCTCAAGCTTGGTTTGGGAAGTTCAACATTGTAATTCAGGGATTTATCACTTTGTGTTTTATTGACATTTTGCATCAAATTCAGTATTGCATGAAAAGACTAAACACGTTGAATTTGTGAAGTTGAGTGATTAACTAGTGAATATCTCACCGGTCCTCGTATTAATTACATTTATAACAAGCTAGGTACGTATGACTCGTATGCACCAGCTTGAGGGGGAGTGTTAGAATAGAAATAGGTATATATAATCCTACTTAGAATAGGAATAAGATAGGAATAGGAATAGAAATAGTAATTTCCTACTTGGTAAAGGAATGTATTAAGTGCCTATAAATAGGGTCACTATGAAATAATGTAGATACACAATTCAATAATATTTTTCTCCTCTATTTCTCACAATCTTGTTGGAGCTCATATATGCATAAGTTGCCTTTGACTGTCTCCAATCCATTGCTGTTGTAGCTCCATCTCAATTTGTCTCTAGCATGATCATCAATTTGCAGTCCTCTATGTTTAATCATAGAGGTGTTCAATTTCCCAATCATATAAGTCCCTCCTTAGTCTTAGATTCAGAACTACCATCTCTATGTTGGGCAAATAGTTGAATTTGGTTGGCTGGCAATTCCAAACAAATCCAGAAAGGCTTTTTCCGTGTGTAAGCTCCTGACATTTGTCTATCTAAAACCTGAGATAATTCCTATTTGCTTATGAAATCTTCCCATAAGCTGTTGATAGTTTTCCAGTCCTGTAACATGTGGTAACCTGGTTGGTTGCCTTGGTGGACAAATGACTGTTGTTGCCATATCTGGTCAGAATTACCACCTTCCATAGGCTAGTTCGTTCTTGATTGAAATTCCATTACCATTTCATGAGCATACACTAGCTATAAACAGTAAGGTCTTTGATGCCCAGCCACCACGAGTCTTGGGGAGAGTGACTTTGGACCTATTCACAGATGTATTTTGTGGGTTTGACTGTTGCCCTCCCATAGAAAATTTCTTCAACATTTCTAGCTGCTGCTGCTTTGTACACCTTCGTAGGAAGGAGGGAAATAGATGGAAAGTATCTGTGAATGGTATTCAATACATTGTTGATGAGTGTCAATCTTTCTCCAAGTGAAAGATATTTGGTTTTTCCATATGGCCAGTTTTCATCAACTAACTCACTCCATATTTCAGTTTATTTGTATTTGAGACCTAGAGAGAGTCCCAGATAAGTAAACCAATAGTACAATAGTAAAACACATGATATCAGCTAAATTCCACCAGGTTGAGCGCAAAGAAACGAAAGGGGCTTGCTTCACTTTTAACAGCAAAGCATGACGCGAAGCACTTGATTCATTGAAGTGAAGCACAATGTTTAAGAAAAACCAAATGAACTTTGCAAAGGTAAGTAAAATAACCAAAGAAAGAAGAAT